AACTAATGCTCAAAACACTGATTCATTCATAAACTAAACAAGTGGCTGTTTTTTTTTTTCAAGTCGTTGAATCATTCACACAAAGACCTGTTTATCTTTTTTCATTGGCATCGAAGGAAAAACAAGTTTTTAATTACACCCACCAAAAATTTGTAGATTTCAAACAACAAATTGGAGTAGAGTATCATTAAAAAGTTGATATAAAAACCTCCTTATGAGCAAATGTAATGTTTTCATACAACTTAGTTTTTATTTGAGTGCTGATTATTTAATACATTTGATGAATTCATTGTTTTTTAAATACAGTATATCTATGGCTTCAGTTTTCTGTGTTTGTAAAAAATTATTTTGGAGCATTACTATAATTTACAGTAAGATGAAATTAAAAATGAATTTTTGAACCAAAAGTTGACAATCCTATGTTATGCTATGCTGTGCTGTGTTGTGCTGTGCTATGTTATGCTGTGTTATGTTGTGCTATGCTATGCGTATAATTTTGGTTGTGAGTGCAGCCAAGCAGTGTGTGTTCATTCTGAGACAAACACGCCTTTATGGCTCTGCACTCATTTAGTTAATTGCATTTGCTTGTCAGCTGAAGCTTTTATGTGAAGAGGGGATTACAGGAATGACTTTACTGATATACACGGCACGCCATGTCGGCTCAATACTGAGGTCATATCTTTGACATTTCTAAATATCTAAATGCTTGTCCCTGCAAATTAAATGCTTGTGGCAAATGAATCAACTAGTGGCCTAAAGAGCAACTTTATCATAAACTTTATTATGTATGATGCTGACCTTTAATGGCACACTGACAATTCTTCTTTGACAACGTGTATTTTACTTATGATTCTGTTTATTCTACAGTGTGTCACTTATTTCGTAAAAATTCATTATTTTGTTTTTGTATGTGTGTGTATGCTGGTATGTGACATTCATCCTCCTGCACACACACACACACAATTCATGTTTTTTTAGATCTTTTTATGATCTAATGTCACCTTCCACTCATTAGCACTTTAAACTAGCAGGACGTGTGGCAGGTCAAAGGAAATAGAGGCTTTTGAAAAAAAATACTGGTGTGACTGAGCAATGCAAGAGAATAACACCGGTGAGAGAGCAGGAGATGGATGAGGTTAAATGGTGAGGAGGACATTAATTAAAAACCGTTGAGCAAAAGACGAATAGCCTACTCTTAATTATACATGCGCTGTGCACACAAACGCACTGGTTTATAAATGAATGTGACTGCTTAATATGAACTGTGCTTAATATGATCCAAAGACATTGGATTGATGTATCCTGTGTTTTGGAGTTACACAGCTTTTTTTAAAGATTAAAGCAAGCAATCACACAGTGGTTTGTGAAACGGGGCAAAGAATTTTGGTGTCAGTGTCAAGAAAAAAAAGTAACTTGTAGAGTTGTCAGTGCTTTTGGGGGGAATGTTCATATCACATGTTTTACATTTGGCAGTACATTAAAGCTATATGTGAATGTACTGCCACAGAACAGATGTGAAGTTAAACTTGTCTTCATTCTGTCCATCATAGCATTGTACTAAAAATGATGGTCTGAAGCTGTGTGTGGTTGGAGCATGGGTTTGGAGGCCAGTGTTTAGCTGGGTTAAGTATACCTCTCTGTGTGAATGGTTAGTAAACGAAACCTTATATCACCCTAGGGCAAAGCCAGCCATCTGTATTCTGTCATTATTGTCAGCCACAGACCATACAATGTACCCAAACTATCACCCAGACACACACAGTAGAAATGATTACAAAGTCATTCTGCTTCTTGCACTCAAGTACATACACATCACTCAATTATGTGACACAATCAGTCATACTGAAACAAAGTAGAAAAGACATTTTTCCATTTGTTTATGTGTGTGCATGTAAGTCTTTATGAAAACTCTCTGAGACTGATGTGGATAAGTTTTTCTGCCGCTGTAAGCAGTTGTTTACTGCTGATACCAATAACAACCATGCTCTCAGCCAATTCACCTTTAATGCACATCAATACTGTCTGTGAACACTTGCTTACATAAACATAAACCATATCATGTAGACTTTTTGAGGATGTCCCTCAGGTTTGATAAAGATGGATGCTATGGTCATTGATTACTTGTTCGTTCTTTCACATGTAGAGGTGTTTGTGTGTATCCTGAGTTCAGATGACCTGTTTCAACATGCTGTACCTCCTCTGTAATTACACACACTAATATGTCTGCCTTATATACTGTCAATCAATCAAACTCCTCTAGACTTCTGTAGCTAGTTGTCTGCACTGTACATTGGAGTGTTTTGCAATGGTTTTGACCTTTAAAGTGCCCTGTGAATGGTTCTGAACCCCATAACCCCGGCACCCCTCACCCAAACCCCAAACCCCTTATTGGTACCTCGTATTATATTATTATTATTATTATTATTATTATTTTGCTCTATTGTATGTTTTCTTTTGCTCCAGAGCAGTGACTCAAGATGAATGCATGTGGTCTATTAACTTTTGTTTTTCGCCTTTTCCCTTTTGTTCTCTCCCTCTGGCTGTCCACCTCAGATTAATTAAGAACAATATATCAGTCATTATGATCTTTTTAGACATGACTGGAAGGAAATTCACATTTGTGGTTAAATTTCTCCCCCTCCTTCCCTCTCTTTCCTCTCTTTGTCTTTTATATTCACACAAAGATACACATTCTTACTTCTTATGGGTAAAACACACACAAACCGGTTCCTCTTCCTCTTCTCCCATTAGAATATACATTGTATGATGATGTTAATTACATTTAACTTCAAAACTTTGCACAACAAAAACTTTCCTCAAAAAAGGAAGATAGGACAACACTATGAAGAAATGAATCATAAAAACCAATTGGAAGCAATATTCCAATTGGTTTTTATGATTCATTTCTTCATAGTGTTGTCCTATCTTCCTTTTTTGAGGAAAGTTTTTGTTGTGCAAAGTTTTTGTCGCAGCATCTGTATGTATAGCTTGATATTCATTCATTCATGGACATCTTAAGAGCTGAAAAGAAGGTACCTTCCACTGAGGATGATGAATGAGAGAAAGAGAGGGAAATGTGGGACTGGATTTAGTCTCGCAGCAAAAAGAAAGCACAAGCACGAGAGAAAGAGATCCTGTCCCTGCTGTGGTGGCTTTTTAAAGCATGTCACGAGCAGACACTGATTTCCACTCAGCGACAATAAAAGTCAGTGACAGCCGTCTCTCTAAATCCTCATTGACCTGTTATGTATAATGGACTTTACAGAAAGACTTGGCTCTGAGAATCTTTCCTCACATCGAGAGTTTAAAGGAAGAACAGTAGGCCTTGATGACATGGAAACAAAGTGCATTCTACAAGTTGTGCATTTTTTCCCCTTTCACTCTCACTTGGGTTGTTTGGCAGTGCAGAGAACAGGTTAGATGCTCACCTGAATGAACAGAGATGTGTGCTGGGATTATCAGAGCAATACATCTGCAGGAAAATAATGTCTTATGTCCAGAAGTGTTCCTTGAATTTGAAATAAGATATCAATAGCATATCCCTAAATATCCCTAAATCAACCCTGGTCCTGGGCGCCCCCCAGCACTGCACATTTTGTGTGTTTCCCTAATCAAACACACCTGATTCAACTCATTAGCTCATTAAAAGAAACTCCAGGACCTGAAATGGGTGTCAGATAAGGGAGACATACAAAATGTGCAGTGTTGGGGGGCGCTCAGGACCAGGGTTGAGAAACACTGCCCTAAATGCATATCTTAGAAGGGACTAAGATTTGTTTCTACGAAACAGAAGCACAAAGCAAGTAAGTGAGGATGAGTGTGAGCTCTGGTTCAGGCAAGAGGAGCTGCTGCATGCTAATCAGAAGTGTTTATATACAGAACAATCCATGCAAGCTATAATGAGTAGTAGACAGAGAATTGAGAATCATTCTGGCTAGTTTTTGTCTCTCTTGTCCCTCCATGCCTTTGTACAGAACACTTGTAATGCTAAATGTATTTCTACCTAACTTTCTGCTGCAGTGCACACAAGTCTGTGTATTCTCCAGGAAAGCTTTTATGTATTTAAGTGTTCATTATCTCTTAAGCATTAGACAAACTTTAGCCATCTCTGTGTGGAATGTGAATGAAGATCAACCCAAGCTGTTGAGGCCTAAACTGCTTCTGTCCTCACTCGACCTCAGCTTCTAAAAACACAGAGATTATGACTAAACCTGTACAGACAACCACATTGGACTTTTAGTTTAGATTAAGCTGGTGTTTGGAGAGCGCTAACCCACATTCCAGGGTGAATCATTGGTCTCTCCTTTTTGTTTCTTCTTTTCCCCTTCTTTTTGTTTAGTCTGCTCAATCACATTATGAAGTGCTTTTGTGATTCCCATTTTGGCCGTTCAGTCGCCCTGATTTCCAGCGTACACACTCCCATCATCTCTCACATCTTTACTTCCAATGAGAGGACTAGAGAGCAAATTAAATAGAAGGTTTAATTAAACTCTGATCACATGAGTCTTTATTTGCATAAGAATTTGGCCCCGTGTATGTGTTTGTGGGTGAATAAGAGAAAGAGATTAGGCACATAAAGAGTGATATACAGACCATAGAAGAAGAAAAGCAGACTGGGATGGACTGAGATTCTTGGCTCACAGTTGAAACCGTTTCTTTACTTTTCACCCTCTGCTCTCACAGAAACCATTTGGTGTTATCATCATAACACCGTCCTCAGTTTAACATTCTTGAAAATGCATACGTGTGTGTAATGTTTCAATTGTGAGTGGCAGTAGTGAGACAAATGAGGTTTGTCTGGATTGGATTTGACAAAATTGAGCAATGAACTGATTTTCATGACCTCCATAAACCTTTTTAGTAAGAAGCTTGGAAGAGGGATTTCTGTCTGCATTTTCAAAAGAAACAAGCATCGTTTCTTCCGAAATGAAGCTTTGTGTTTTGTAATGTCAAGATGTTCTCATGCTCATAGGACTGGTTGTTGTTTTGTGTTGTTCCAGGAGCTGCTTATTCAATTCTTCAGGGATGGTCACAGGATGATGATGTCACTGTGGAACTGTTGAGGAGGAGACGCTGGCTTCTCCTGGAGCCCCTTCCAATGGAAAGTAACAAAGCCAGTCAAGACAGTTTGAAGCCTGAGTCTCAGGATTCACCTGTTATACTGACTGATGACAACGCAGACAACAGCTCCCAAAAAATGGTAGCCTTTAATCTTTAACAAAATATTAATTTTCCCTAAGGGGCCATTCATGCCTTTTTCCATTCCACTGCGCTACTTTTCATTGTTTTCCTATGTAAACACATGCTAGATGGACATCTTTGACCATTATGCTTGCATGTTTTGCCGCGTCTCAAACATCACACAGCAATCTAAAAAAAATGAAGTGCTCAAGTAAAAGAAGTTCAACTTTTAGAAAATGTGTCGTGAGACCTTAGGACACAGGTTATCAAACCCTGGGTCGTGACCCTCTGGTGGGTCGTGAGACTTAAAAATAACAAACTTTATTAACAAAATTTAACTTTAATAACAAATTAAACAAACAACAGCCGTCTCACAGCTAAATGCTGCATAAACGTAAACAAAACCACAACGTAAAGTCCCAGGCCTGGTCCTCTCTCACCTTGCTTTCACTGTTGTCACTCCTCCTTTTATACTTTCAGACCTCCTCTGTGGAGTTCCAGACCGGTGTGTGGCGCAGGTGTCGCTTCCACCATCCTCACTCCACTCTCACAACTTTGGCCCCGCCCTGCTTCACGCCTCTCTCTCTGATTTTTTTTTTCTTGAGAACCAAATCATATTTGAATGATTTCTTAAGGGTCATGTGACATTGAAGACTGGAGTAATGGCTGCTGAAAATTCAGCTTTACCTTAGTGGGCTGGTCTTAGTGGCCGGGATGAGCACAATGAGGAGTTGTACATCCATCTATGTGATAATTTTAGGCATATGAAAAACATCATGCACATGTTTTCAGTATTGAATTAGTTTCCCCACATGATGATTACTTCAAAGCACTTTGTGTGTACACAGTATGTAGTTGCTAATTGTAATGGCCACTGGCTGTTTCCTTTTATGTTGTTTTACAAGGTCTGTGTGATGGAGCTTTAAGGTCCATTCACACCAAGAACGATAACTACAAAATTAACTATATTAGCGTCCACATCAGAGGACGATGTCGTCTGTTTATTCTAAGTGCACGCTTCTCTACCGCTTGAAATTCTCGAGCTCATTATAGCAGGATTGATTCTGATTGAGTGTCAATGTTTTTATCATTCATCAGCTGGAAAAATCATTCTGAAAGTGATTCCAATGATATTGTTTATCTGTGCCTTTATCGTTATAGCTGTGGTGTGGATTCTTTAATATTGAGAACGATTTTTAGAACCATATCTTTTTATAGTTATCGTCCTTGGTGTGAACAGGCCTTAAAGGCGCAATAGGAGATCTTGGAAAATGCTAACTTTAGCCTGATAGCACTGAAAGCGAATGTCCCACCCTCCCTGCAATCGCCGTCCAAAGCCACGCCCCCTGAATGCATATACGCTCACTCACAGACCAGAGTACCAGAGACAACATTACTACAATAGGCTACATCAGGTTCCCAATTCCAGCCCATGTTCCGAAGTGAAGTAAACTTCAACGGATTTCCCCTGCTCAGGGAGTAGGGAGCAATGAACTCTGTGTAGGGATCATATCGATCAGAACCCAGTTCATGCACGTAGCTCACTTCTAACGAGCTGGTTATCTGAATCGGGTGTGTTAACTAAGCGAGACATTCAAAATATGCAGAGCGGGGGGCGCGAGGACTGGATTAATCGCTGGGCTACATCATGCGTCATTCACCGGTGAGAAAACTTTAAAAGTACTACAATACCAGGAAGGAAAATCGGGTTGTTGATTCTCTGGCATTCTCGCTCTGTCTGCACAGCGTACGTGAATGCACTGATGAGGTATCCTGTCTGCGCGAACCGGGTGCGCAGAGGTATGCTAAACATACGTTGACAGGCAGGTAGGAAAGCTTATTAAAACGCTCGGACCGAGCGTTTTGATTGGACGAACATTTCTTGATCCTACGCCTTCCACAGACTTATTAAAACGCTCGGACTGAGCGTTTTGATTGGACGAACATTTCTTGGTCCTACGCCTTCCACAGAATATATGAATACATTTAGACCACTTAACTTAATGATTGCTATCGGGATGTGAAGAGACTTTCAACCAGCATAACAAAAAATGTTTCTGAAGACAATCACCTATTACACCTTTAACTGTTTGAACTCCTACCAGCTCCTGTATACAAACAAATTCCTGTATAAAACACTCATACACACATACACTAGGTGCATCATTTATTTCACATACAACAAAGTGCTTCTGTCATTTTTTATTTTGTGAGTTTCAAAGGCTTGAATTTCTGTTGCTTTTTTATGACATGGCCTCAGGCTTTAATTTAGGCTTTAGTTTGCTTTAGTTTCAGCCTCTGCTTTTGCACTTTAAGAGATTAAACTGTCAAAGATTGCATACCTTATATTCACCTCTCCTTAACTTTGACATATTTCTTTCTTTATGAGAATTGTATTATTTATATAATTCCATGTGAAATTCTTCAGTGCCAGAGTTTTTGATAAGACAGTGCAGAGAATTTTGATCAAGTTTTTTCCTCCTAGGGTTTTACAGACAGCCTTGCCTTGCTCGGTAAACAACAATAGATCAAGCCAGGATGATTTCATTAACGCTCTAAGTGTCATGTCCATTGGCTCTTCTTTTGGATTGTTAGTTTGTCATGCATCATGTCTTCTACTCACAGAGCATGTGTCCATACAGGAATTCATATATATTTGTAAAGTTATATTTTTGGCTTTTTGTTAGTATTTATTATGACAGGACAATGACGATTGGAGAGGAATAATCATGAATAATCATGTCACACTCATAGCCTTGGTCATGTGATCAAGTTTTTTTTGTCACACATTAGACTAATTGGTAGACAAAATATTAATTTTGCTTCGTTTTTAAAACCTACTCATTTATAATAATTGGATCACTGGTGATAGCCTTTGTGGAAAATGGACAAAAGCTTCTGTCAAATGAATAAATGTAAAATGTAAATGTAATGGTCAGTAATTTGAGGGATACAATTTCTCTGAGTTGATTTTCTTTCCGTTAGTTGATCATGTTCTTCTCTCCCTGTCCAAAGCATTATGCTGTTACTAATCAGCAGTCATGGGTTGTGTTTCTGCTGGCACTCAGATTTTCCATCCATTTGCTTGGCAGATGTAACCTGTAGAACTATTCATTTAGTCAAAACATCAAGGTTTTTAGTCACTTTTTAAAAAATTGATATACCAGGAGCATCTCATTGCAAGTATGTGTACACCCGCATACATAAATCCACACTTATCGAAACACGTATATGCCTAATTTATCATGATCTTGTGTCTCAATCACTCAATCATCTCTTTCTCAAATCTTTCTGTTACCCAGCTGGTGAAATGACTGACCCTTTGTTCTTTTCACCTAAGTGGATAGGGAGAACTGGGCTAAAAGAACTCAGTTGACCCTTTTGCAGTTTTGATATTGTCATATTTTCCAGGCAAAGGCTAGACACCTATACAAGTGCTGCTGATCAAAGCTCAGTTCATTAAACCTCTCAGTGTCCCTCATAAATATGTGGTCAGCATTGAAAATGCATATAAACAAAACGAGATTGGCTCAGACTTTTGTTAACATGACTGTATTTTTTTTTTTTCGGGAGAATGTTTGGGTGTGTTTTCAATACTGAAAGACCTAAAATGGTATTTGTTTGTGATATGAAAATCAGAATGGGCTTGTGGCCCTTGATTGTTAAAAGCCTACCATAAACAAATATGGATTGTGTTGGGCTGTTTCTTCTGAGTTTATTAAAGCGATTGTTCACCGAAAAGTGAACATTTCTGTTGTTATTTACACAATCATGCTGTTCCAGACCTATATGATTTTCTTGACAGTAAGTATTGTGTCCTTTAACCTGACTGGCTGTTTGATATTTCCCTGCAGGAGGACACAGATCATAACTACTACACCTCAAAGACTTTTGGCCCCAGTGACCTTATGAGCAAAGAATTATGGGTAAATATCGATCAGATGGACAAGGAGAAGGTGAAGATTCATGGCATCCTGTCCAATACACACCGACAAGCAGCGGTAAGACAGAATTAATTCATTCATTCATCACTCACACACAAATAGAAAGCAGTAGACATCTTCTGAAATGCAAATGATATGAAATTACTACATTTAAGAACAATTACTGTTCATGTTCATTTTCAAACTAAAATAAAAATAACTTAAACAGCTGGGTTTGTCTGTTTGTGTGGATTATGAAAGTAACAGACCAAGTGTTGATCCTCAAATGCCCCATTTCTCTGAAATGGAATCAGGTTTTGGTGTGTCGCCATCCCATTGCTGGAACAGACTGCAATATCCTCACATTGCACTTTCCAAACAAAAGAAACCACAGCGGACAAGCGCACCATAGATTTAGGACAGAAGTCAAATGTATTAGCAGAGTTATGTTTGCTTTAGCCGACCACAGAATGAGTCCATAGAGTCCGTCTAGATGTACACTTACTGTATGTTTTATTGTAATTACGGCCTCTCTCTCTCTCTCTCTCTTTCTCTATCTCTCTCTCTGATTAATAGTTTTATATTGATTCTGCTTATTGTTTAGATCGTTTTATAATCGCAAGCTAAACTCTGTCTTGTTTTCATCCTCAGCGGGTCAATCTCTCCTTTGATTTTCCATTTTATGGGCATTTGTTGCGAGAGATCACCGTTGCAACTGGTGGTAAGTGAACTGTCCTCCTGCATGTGATGTGTGCAGCACAACCAATGATGAGGCTATAAGAGATCGTCTGCCTGCCTCCATGCGATATAAGTATTATACGGCTGAAGTAGAGCATATGATCTATATGAGCTTAAAGAGGAATATATAATTGATTGGTTCTTGCTTGTAGGCATAAGAGCTTGACTGTGAGTCACAGTGTTCTAGTGGATCAGGCTGTGTTTATCAGCTGTGAGAGGTTCCTCTTACAGCTGGCCGTGCATTCTGTAGATATGAGGGCATGGGGATTTTTATTATGATGGTGGTTCATGTGACTCACTGGCTGCTGGAATGTGTCTAAGATGAAGCAGTGAGAGTGAGGAAAAGATAGAAAGAGAAAACCGCTATACAATTTCGCCCTATAATCACATCAGTCATCTCTCTGCGGTTATAAACGGTGAAACACAAGTGATCTAAATTTCCCGGTGATGTTTTCTCAGGAGCGAAAAATCATGCACTGTATCGGTGGTATAAGAGGTACTTTTCCTGCCTTAAAAATAGGTAATAAACAGCACTGGAAAATGTTTGCTAAATCATTCAAATCGGAGTGTCTATTTACATTAAGTCTTGTTGGCAAAGGCGTTTTGCATTAATTCTCTTCCCTTACGCAAAGAAAATATATTTCCTAATATATGAATGATCTATATATATATATATATATATATATATAAACGACATAATGGTATGTTAGAAATTATACAGAATAATATATTGTGTAAATATATTACAATATATTGAATAATACATTTTTCATATATTGAAAATATGTGACAATATATTTACTTGTGTATCACAATATATGTCATTTTATATTCAGTAATACACTTTATAATATATAGATGTACATGTGATAAGATATGGTACTGCATGTGTAAAAATACATTGAACATATATTCATGCAGTATATACACACATATATGGAAATACACTGTGCTGAACAGTGCACTACCATTTTTAAATAAACTAACATATAATTTAATGGTGCTTGGCCAATCGTCTTCCTGACCACAGACTCTACTCTTCTGCACAATGGTAACCCCACAAACTTACACATACCAGAAACCCTTTTACATTTCAAAATAATACAACAGTAAACACTAACAGATATCCCCCTATATTGATATTGAACAAAAACACATGAAATAACACTTAATTTTAACATTTTTACTCTCCTTTAACAGTCAGAAGCAAAGCATGCTGGGAACTAGAAATCTGCTGTAACTCATTCCGTGTATGTGTGTATATATGTGTGTACATACATTCACATTTATATGGGAACATCTATGTGCAATACATACTCAATAAAGGATCAAACAATGCATATTTATTTTTGTCTTCATTTCTAAATATATTTGTATGTGTCAATTTATAGCTATATATATTGTCAATGCATATATTGCTGTATATTGAATAATATAAGCACTAGTTTCCAATATATGGAAATGTATTATGTAATATATTGCATTATATTTTGCAGTATATTACAATATATTTTTGTCTGGTTCAATCAGACAAAATTGCTAAAGAAACTGCTTTGGTAACTAGGACAGGAGTCCGGAGATCAAGGACAGGACAGTGGATTTAGCTTTTGATGTGACCAACTTAGTTTGAATACGCTTTTTTTTCCCGACCATATTTGTCTCCCTGTTCCCATCTCGTATCAGCTGGAAGAGGCTTATTTTAAGTAAAAATGCCAAAAATATTTGAGAAGTGGAATTATAGTGCCTAATAGGTATTTAATAGGCTTATAATTTAAATTTGATGTGGTGTCCTCACGTTGATCAGATGGGCTGGCAGATTGACCGCAACACATGCTCCTCAAATTGTTACCATGTGGCTCCCTTCTTGGACCTTCGAGGACACCTATGCTGATCAGCAAGATCAATATGGCTAGGGGTAGGTAGGGTTGGGCTTTAGAAATAGGGACAAGTAAGGAATTCTGATGTAATAGACGTTCTTCCTCATACTCATCAACAGGCTCTAACGGTAGGCATGATTGCAGCCAAAAAAGTGATACTACTCAATTGGAAATCTCCACAAGCCCCTTGTTTTCTGAGATGGTTGAATGAGATCTTTACATTATCCAAATGGAACAGTTAAGTTTTGGTGAGCTCTCCTCACAGAAAAGATTTGAAGCCACATGGGGACCTATCTTGAGACTCTTGGAAATTTAATTTCTGTATTCTGTAAATCTCCCCTTCAATTTTTTTAAAATATATATTTCTGAAGTATTGGATTTATAAAACAATTGTGAATACTATGTTGTATATATTTGTCAATTGAGGCAGTCCGGGTTTTAATATTCTTAATTTGTGGTTTTCATGGAGCGACTGGAAGTCAGGAATGTTCTGCTGTATTTGACTGTACAGTGAGTCTCTTAAGGATGTGTATTTGTCACAGTGAAGGAGGAAGTGCTCCTCCGTCTCAACAGATCCTGATCTACATTCAGTACAGATTCGCTCTTCTTTAGGTAACCACGTGTTTTATGTCGTCCTCTCTCTATGGCCAGCTGGTGGTCACTCAGTCTGTACTTGGTCAGTAAATGTCTGTGTGTTATATTCCTGACTGAGAGCAGATAGTCTGCCAGACTGTACTCTCTGTTGAGTTTCAGATAACATTGGAGACGACTTTGGTCTTTGGTTTGTTCTTTCCAATGCTGTATGTATGTCTCCTTCTCTTCATTCATAATGTCTTTGATTCTTCCATGTTTTTCAGGGTTGGTGATATCGAGTGCTTTGTTAGTCAGATCTGACACCATTACACAAAGATGACTTTTCTGAGCACTCCTTTAGCCCAGAGCTCCAGAGCACTGCTTTAAAATGAAGAGAATCTTCCGAACTAGAGTTTAAGTGGATGTAATTTATACAGTCAAATATGCAATGCTGTTTTACATTCCATTACTTTATTCAATTTCTGTACCTAAAAACTAATGTTAGACCTACCTAAAAAAAACTGAAAATCACTGTTTATTTTATTTGTATCTTTACTCTATTGTATTTATTTGTGCTGTTGCTTGTAGTTAGATAGATTATTCTTATTTTTATTTGACAGTATAGTTTTTGCCTAAACATAGCACATACCGAACCGTACCGAAACCGTGACTCTAAAACCGTGATACAAACCAAACCGTGAGTAAGTTGAACCGTTCCACCCCCAATATATATATACAGTATATATAATATAATAATAATTTATTTTTTATTTTTTATGTTGTATATATTTGTTAATTGAGGCAGTCCGGGTTTTTTATTTTTTTGTCTGTGTGTGTGGGTGTAAATATGTGTATTTTGTTATCCTATGTTGGTTACTGTTTTTTTGTTTTTAAAAAAATAATAATTTTAAAAAAAAAGAAATGGGGACAAGTAAGGAAAAATAAGTGTGCACATTGCTATAATAAATCATTTTTGAAGATTTGTCTTAATTATTTTATTTTTATTAAATTGAATATGACTTTTTAAGTGCTCTGTGTTTACAGGGTAAGCAACGTTGGTCAGTATAGTCCAGGTTAGCTGAATTCCTGTGGTAAGGTTTGCAGACAAATGTTGAAGCCACATTTTAGAATATGTATGTGTGGAAGGTCCTCTCTCCTTTCTGTGAGTGGGATGGAAGGAGGCATTTATATGGCTAATTAGAGTATTAATCACTTTGGAGACAGGCCAGGGCTGTTTGCCAGAACGCATAGATGAGAAAGGAGGAGACTACAGAGATAAACAGTAGAAAGACAAACAAATGTTCGTGCATTAGTGCCAACAAAAAAAAAAACGTTTTTATAAACAAATTGAGTGGGTTTTATCTTATTTTCATCTTGAAGATTACATTTTAAATGTATTTTTATTATTATTCTATATTGTGAATTTGTATTGTAAAGGTTTATAGATTGTGTGTGTGGTTGTGTTGTGTTTTCAGGGTTCATCTACACAGGAGATGTGGTTCACCGAATGTTGACAGCCACACAATATATCGCTCCACTTATGGCAAACTTTGACCCCAGCCTCTCCAGAAATTCAACTGTCATCTATTTTGACAATGGTAAGAGACAAACGCACTGGACTGTGTGTGTATGTATGTGTATATATGTGAGAGAGAGAGACAGAGAGTGTCCTATCTGACAGAAATATATAGTGGAAAAACATATTGGTACATAAATTGGTCAGACCTACCAATGTTCAAATGCACACACCCTTTAAAAACAATGTATTTTGACTTGCCATAAATCAAACGTGTCACTTTATAGACCATGTTGTTTTCAAGATGCTCTTGTTTACAGAGGCATACAGGATCAGAAACTGAAACTGTTATTAGTAGAGAATATAAGTATTAAATATATTCTCACTAATGTATAAAATATTATGTATATGTTTCATAGGAACTGCTTTGGTTGTCCAGTGGGATCATGTCCATCTCCAGGATTCTTATAATCAAGGAAGTTTCACCTTCCAGGCTACATTACACAGTGATGGGCGAATTGTCTTTGCTTACAAAGAGGTCTGATAGATATTTTTTTCTTCCTCCATATGTCTTTCATCCTGTTTTCTATTTCTCTCCCTGTCTGTGACATGACTCTTCTGTGATTACTTCCTGTTCCATCAGAGTTTGTATGATTGTGTCAGTGTCACTCTCTTTTCAATTTTCCATTTACAGACATGGTCAGGTACCATGCAATGGCAAAGTGACGTAACCAGTACAGTTAAGATATTCCATCAGTTTCACAAATCATGTGCAGTCAAATGTGACATACTTGAAATGCATGAATCCATTTTAATCATCAAATAAATCAATTGTTTTTAACATTATAGTTTTATATATTATATGATATGATATTATATATATTTAAATATAATTTAGTATGTGCATATTATGTTATGTATTTATTATATACATTTAAAATATGTATATTCTATACATGTATATTATGTATACATATCTATCTATCTAGCCCAGCTATCTATCTGTATTTATATATGCAAATGTGTTATGCACTTTACTAGTGTTATTCCAAATAAAAAAAAATATATATATATGCAGCGTTGGAGATAGAAATTGTCAGGGTTTGTGCACGGGGTGAGGCAAGGACTCAGTTGCAAGAAGTTTGGGCTCTTTATTAGCAGAAATTAAACAAAAACAAACAACAAAAACTACCCTGTGGGGGGAAAACACAACTGGCAACTTGAGGCAGGACAGGGCAGGAAACACTATGGCAAACATTAGACAACAAACTGGCACAGGACTGCCAACTCAAGGAGAATAAATAGGGAGCAAACAAGGAGGATAATGTGGGGCAACTGAACCAATAATCAGGTAACAGGGTGGGCGGGGTTAGACAATAGACATGAGAGCACATGGTACACAGAAACAAACAAAACAAGACCCATGTGCTCACACAAATCAAAATCAAAAACACAAGCACATGGCCAGCAACATAATCATAAGCCATGTGGTTGAACAAAACAAGACACGAACACGCAGCGAATGAGAAGACTCATAAGCCATGTGTTCGCACAAAACATGACAACATAAAAGCATGCGACCGAGGGAAACCCGAGCCGAGTGCTACACAACCCTGCAAACAAGCCTGCACTGGCCCTTTACGGGCCCACTTAGGGCTAGACTAAGGGCCCCCAGAGGGCTGCCAGCACAGTAGTGATGCGCGGATGAGCTAAAACGTCACCCGAATCTGCAGCTTCAAATAAATTATCTACCCGCCAACCGCCCGCACCTGTATTTTTGTCTGATTTAGATAACCGCACCCGATCATCACATTCGGGTTCGTACAGTCATGAAAAACCTGGAAAAGTCATTGAACAGCAATTCCCAGGCCTAGAAAGTTTTGTAAAAATAAATAAACTCAAAAAGTTTTTGAAAAAATCATGAAAATATATTTCACAATTCTCTGTATAATAGAATTATGTTTAATCAGATCCTGAATTTCGTTGCGGGATTGCGCATACATCGCATTACTCATTCCCGCAGCTTTCGACTTTAAAATGAGGGAAATTACTGCAAAACCTTTATTCAATATAGCGTGTAGGTTAGATGAGTAAATAAATCCACACAAACCATCAGATGAAAACAGCGTATGTGATTCAGCTGTACCGCGTCTTCTCTCTTTGACTTTCGCTTCACATCGACGCATCTAGAGCTGCTGCACGCTGCGATAGAAGACTTTAGCTCGCGTTTCGGGACAGTTGACAGAATTGTCAATAGCCTGATCGGTCATTGTTGCATCGTCACAAAAATGTATTATTTTCACGTCTTCTTAAGCCATTCGGTACTCGCGCTCTCCAGGGGCGCGTGCGCTCACAGTCACATCCAAAGCGCGTACTGCCAGT